GGGGTCATGTGCGACGTCGCACCACTATCAATCAGCCACCCGGCCGAGCGTTCCCCACCAACTGCAAACACTGCATCGTCTTTACTGCTCTTCTTTGCAGCAGGACAGTCCCGCTTCATGTGACCCACTTGGTCACAGTTGAAACACTTGCCCTTGAAACCAACGTTCCGTTTCGGACCGTTCCATTTTCGATCGTTCCATTTTTGACCGTTCCCTCGGCCGTTCCGGAACTTGCCTGCGTTCCCATTCACTTGGAACGCCTTCTCCATGGTTTCTTTCTTCTCGAGTCGCTCGTACTCCTTCAACAGCTTTTCCTTGGCCTCGATGAGCGTCACACCCTTGGCATTCTCCACGATAGACGAAATGAGCTCGTACTCATCGGGGAGGCTGCTCAGCAGCACCACCAGCTGGCGTGCCTCGTCCATGGGCTCTCCTAGCGTCTGCAACCCGACGATCAGCTCATCAAACGCATCCAGATGCTTTGCCATAGTCGATCCACTTTCCATCTTGAACTCGTGGAGGCGACGCGTCATCGTCACGCGGTTGTGGAGCGTGGTGCGGTTATAGAACTCTCGCAGCGTTCCCCAAGCTTCTATGGAACGAGTGGCCGACCGAATCTTGGTCTGATGCTGGAGTTCCACTCCCTGAGCGATGATGCCGAGCGCCTTGGCATCATTGACGAGCCACGCCTCGGTGATCTCGTTCTCCGGCTTGACGGCTTGAATATGCGCAAGCAGGCCCTTCCTGGCTAGCGTCATGCGCATATTGTACTCCCAGTGGAAGTAGTTCCCACTCCCGAGGAGGACTTCGGCGCGCTTGGTCGTCGTCATATTTTGGAACGTTCCAGTAGAGTTGAGCGTTTGCGGCTGTTAACCTGTTGTTGTTGTTAAAGGCAAATGCCGAAGTGAGTAGATTAAAGTCAATTAAATCTGTCCTCTAAACTTCAGTGCTCCTGGCCATCCACCAGATTAACCGGTTTGGGACCGGTCCATTTTGGAACGTCACGCCGGTTAGCCGAACCGTGCAGAGTCGGTGCATATCAACACGGAGTCCCCGTATTTTATTCAGCTGAATCATGGACAAAACATGGAAATTCATGGGCAGAACATGAAAGTTCATGGCCATGTACTGGGCCTCAGTCGATTTCAGTGCGACGGTTTTCTGAAAGCTTAATTGCTACACAACACATCATGAGCATTATGCCGCTCACGGATCGTCTCCCCTCACGGTTCTCGGTCCAATCTACGTCGGAGTATGCGGCGAGCTCCGTTCCTTGTCGGTCGTACGTGACCGGCCAATGATATGCCGAGTTTGTTGGCAATACTTCGATTGATGCTTCAATTTTCGATGACAACAAACTGGATCATGTCGACAAAATTGCTGTAAACCGCTAATACATTCCGAAAGAGGGCGATGTGAGCATCGGTATCTTGGCTCCCTTTATCCAGCGGGGACACGGCAAAAAAACGTTCGTTAGAGCCGTCCGCCAACCACGTAGAGTCCGATGTCTGCAACAAAATGCATGGTGCCATGGGTCCAGCCGTCTTACATAATTCCGAACAGGATGCCCATCTCTTCGAAGATCACGACACCCAGCTTTGTAGCTACCTTTATCTTGTCTGCCTTGACGGCTTTTGAGCTGGTCGATTGTCACTTGGACATGACCCTTGTAAGCTCGTCGCCTACCTCGCTAAGCGGCATGCCTCGCACGACCACCCATCGTAGACCCTGGTAGCGATGCTAGCTTTCCTCAGATAGGAGTCCAAAAGCTTGAGGGGGCGTTCGCTACCTTGGCTATGCGCGTTGTGCTGCGCAAGGAAGCACTCAATACGGCTTAACAGGTGTGACACGAGGTTGAATTAGCCCGTACCGGACAGCTACTTGCGGCAAGCATCGGGAATCTTGCAGCAATGGATTTCTTCGCCTTGGGACTCTTAGAAAGTGCACAGAAGTACCTGTTTGTCACCATTGTCGTAGTTTAGGAAATGAGATGTCAGCTTAGCCACTCACTTTAGCTAAACACTGAAAGAGATGGCCAGGAAGGTCCTTTTTTTGCTGAACCGGTCGCACAAAAGTGAACCGGGACTGACTGGCCTTCTCGTCAGGTATTTTATAGCAGTAATTTGGACCACTGTATTAATATACTACCTCCGTTCTGAAAAAGATAACCATTTCAAATTATATTACAGCCTACCCAAAAAATACCCCCTCTATGCCGATCATTTTTTGGATTTCGAATCTCCCGTGCTTTCCCGACAAGACTCCCAGCTTTCATTTTGAAAGCTGGCACCTGGGGGAGATCACAGACAGTGAGCGCCAGGCCGTCTGGTAGACCTTACTGCCTCGCAGCGTGGGAGGAGTGCTCAAACATGGAGAGATCGTTTGGGCTGCAGCGTACTTCCGTGTGGGCCGTCAAGTTGTCGAGCGAATTTGGAGGCGTGGAATCAATTCAATGGGAGATCGAGTAGCAGCCGTGGTCAAGTCAAGGAAGAGCGCATGTGGTAGGAAGAAGGTGGCTCGAGCTGAGCTGTGCGAGAGAATCGCTGCAGTTCCTGTCAATGAGCGCGAAAACCAGCGTCTGCTTCAGCGCGCGTCCAACATGAGCTGCTACCTGGTTCAGCAGCTGATCAAGGAAGGCTACATACGGCGTGCGCTCAGACAGACCCGCCCACTACTTACACCCACGCACAAGTTGGTGCGCTCCGGCACAAGGACAAGCAAGTACGAGCTGGCACTCTCACTACGTCACTGCCTTGTGACGCTACCTCACTCGCCAATGCTAACGCGTACATGCTGCTTCTTGCAGCGAGCAGCTTCCCACCGCCTACCGCTGAAGTTCCAGAAGCCCCACTGAGCGCCCCTTTAGAATGTGGCGATGTAGCTGCCGTCTTAGATCCGTTTTTGTATCTGTAGTTGCACGGCGGAGCATGAACGCCTGTGCCTTGCTTAGTTTCTCACTGTCAGCTCTCGGTCATAAAGCTAGCTAGCCAGCCTCTTACAAATTAATAAACGCTCAAATGAACGAAGCGGAGCGCTGCGCAAAAAAAAAACCAAATGGTTATCTATTTCCGAGCGGAGGTAGTACTTGTTTTTAGGGGGTCAATAATAATTATTATATAAAACCTGCAAATATTGCAGCTCCGCAATATTTTTGAGGCCTACAAGGACATATCCTATTGTTTGGGACGAAACTCGTTCTAGCCAAATTGCCTTGAACGACATGCATCAACGACGGCAGCCAAGCCCAGCGTGAATTTTCTCATCAAAAACATTTTTTTGCTGCTACGTTAATGCAAAAGATTGTACGATTGGGCAGTCTTGATCTGAAATCTGACCGTAGGGAGGCCTAACGGATGTGCTCCCTTGCTTTTGAGCTCCTTTTCGTCGTACTTGCCGGTTCCTATAGCAGGATCTTGAGAGTGGAGAGTCTCTTGGGCATATCCGGCCAAGTTGTAAATCCGGTTAGCCTTACGGATCTGAGGAAAATACACTAGGTGGTCGGATCTAGCCAATTTATGTTCCTGTAATCACTACCAACGCTAGATCTGCATTTCTCAACCTTCACCAGGATTCTTGAGTATTTAATAACCAGTAAATCTTTAAAGATTTTAATAATTTATAAAGTATGCTGCTCAAAACTTAATATAAACCGTCATTTATCGGTACTAACTCGAAGTACTAAAAGCAAGCAAATCGGTCGAAAGACCAGCAGTACAACGACGAAATTGCTTAAGCATTTGACTACAAGTCGTTGCTTGCGCGCATACGTATGTGTTCGTTGCCAGTATCCAGCGGTTTACATGCTTCTCTGTCGTAAAATACATATATATATTCTTTTATACGAGTTTTGCATGCTGTAAAGGCATTACATGTACTTATTCTACGAGCAGATTTTTAGATGGGTCGGTAGCCATAACCAATTTTGATCGATCATTCGTGGCAAAGAAAACGCCTGCTTCTATAGAACGTATTTGTTTTCACAACGCGTTTAAACAGCGGCTCACAGCTAACTTATGCTGTTTTAAAATCTGTACCACCGGTGGTAGAATTGTGCAGTACCACCGATGGTACACCTGGGGTAAAACAGTTTCATCTTAAAAAAATATCATGAAAGAGTTAGCGTTCAGTGTGGTAATCTCAATAACCGACATACTGTCAGCGAACCTTTACTATTACCCTTAGCGAAAATTGGTTCATCTTGCTTTACTCATTCGCTAAATGAGAAAATTTTACCAACAAAAAGTGCAAGGTAAAAAGAAGTTTCTAAGACGAGACGTCACGAATCCAAATTTTATTTTAGGGACAATAAAAGCTGAGTGTCCTGTATTTGCCTCGTTCCTGGTACTCTTTCGTCCACAAAATTCAGATTGCTGTTTTAAACCATCTCTATTTTTTTTTTTTCGTTGCAGCGTCGAGGTCACGAGCTGCCTTGGTGCAAGAAACGTCTACTCTTTCTGGGGAGTTGTCTTTCAGATATGTGTGTGATTGCATGAAAGAATCAGAATGATTCTCCATCCATTGCCTTTGAGGACATCAAATCTGATGACATGAACAGCTATATTACTATAAGCTCTGTGCAACTATCGATTTCGCGGTAACTCGAAAAGTGTGTAGTAGAAGGAAGTGGCTGTGCATTTTTTAGCTTAAAATGTGGTTGTACAGCTTCTGGACGCGAGAAAAAACAATCGCTAACAATTCAGTGCTACTAATTACCATACCGGAATTTACATTAAAAACCTTGCTCTTGTGGCGGAGTACACTTGTTAAAAAGTTACTGACTTCAGTCACTAGAATACGGAATACTACATCGAACAAGAGCAAGCGAGGCATGTGGATGTCAGTCTGATGATCGCGTAGACTATTACCGTCTTGCCAATCATTAGCAACAACAAAAATCGACAGCGAATACAAAATGCAACTCCTAATTTTTGGTCACTGAAGCCATTTCTGAAGTTAGCTTAGCACAGCCAACAAAAATGACAAGAGAACTGAGCAGACCATAGTGTTTAGCAATGAGGTTATCAGCAAAATAACCAATTAGGACGTTTATTGTTCCTCGTAGCCTGCAGCTTCCTGTCGCGACTAAATCTGTCGCGTCCATCTGCTGCAGAATCGCTAAGAAGAACCTGCAAGCACCCAGCAGTCAAAGACAAGGCCGAACTCTAGTCGCTTAGTTGGCCTTGCGGGCGGCGGCAACAGCCTTCTTAACCAGCGAGCTCTTCTGCTTGCGGGCGATCATAGCCTTGAAGCGGTCGAAGTCGCTCAGCTCAGCGCGCGTCTTCTTGTTGTGCAACTTCTTAGCCCAGATCGAGGCCTCCCACTTCGCGAGGGTGTCGGCCTTAGCAAGAGCCTTCTTAAGAGTCTTCTCGCGAGCCTGGAGGGGGATGTCCACGGTCAGGTCCGTAAGGGACAGACGCTTGAAGTTAATCACGTGACGGTTCACGCCTGTGACGCTGAAAGGACCATCCACCAGGGCCTTGTTCTCGTCCACCACGTCGATGATCGTGGCGATCTTGCCGGCGTCCGGGCCGTAGTTGATAAGCACCACGCGGCCGATAGAAACGAAGCGAGTGAAGGTCTGTAGTTTATTATGCCAGCAAAATATGACAGAGTGATGGTCAGTTTAACACATACGCAACAACGACACGAGACGCACCATTGTTGCTGAGAGGAAAAACGCCAAACGAACTAATAAGCCTCGACGTTGGCGGCTGGGCTTTTGCCCCAGCTTTTAGAACCAGTCATCCCAACCCTACTCATCGGCTTTACTTTTCCACCAATCGCTACGGACTTATTAAATAAAAAAGTGATATGATAGGTAGAAAAAACTTTGGTGATTCACACACCGTGACTAATATTAACAAAGCTCCCCATCGCACTGATGTCCGCATGCTGCTCTTTGTAGAGTGAAGGGCGGCGATGGCGACCAACCAAAATGGTCCGTGTGCAGCGCTTTTTTCACCTTTCAGTTTGGAAACTTTCATCAAGTAAGAATGGGGTTCGTCAAGGTCCTTAAGAACAAGGCGTACTTTAAGCGCTACCAGGTCAAGTATCGTCGTCGCCGTGAGGGCAAGACGGACTACCGCGCCCGTAAGCGTCTCATCACGCAGGACAAGAACAAGTACAACTCGCCCAAGTACCGTCTTGTCGTGCGTATCACCAACAAGCAGGTTATCTGCCAGATCGCGTACGCCGAGATCGATGGCGACAAGATTCTGTGCCAGGCTACGTCGGCTGAGCTGCCGCGTTACGGCCTGACGGTTGGTCTTAAGAACTACGCCGCTGCGTACGCCACGGGTCTGCTTGTCGGCCGTCGTGTGCTGCAGAAGCTCGGCCTGGACGAGGACTACGAGGGCAACACGGAGGTTGACGGCGAGATCGTCAAGACCGAGAGCAACGGCCGTACCTACTTCGTGGATGAGGTCGCTGACGAGAAGCGCCCCTTCCGCTGCTACCTGGACTGCGGTCTGCGCTCTACCACCACCGGTAACCGTGTGTTCGGTGCCCTTAAGGGTGCTGCCGACGCCGGTCTGGACATCCCGCACAGCGAGAAGCGTTTTCCTGGCTACAGCCGTGACGACAAGAGCTACGACGCCGAGGTCCACCGTGACCGTATCTTCGCTATCCACATTTCGGAGCATATGAAGGAGCTCGAGGAGGATGACCCGGAGATGCTTGCCTCGCACTACGCCGAGTACGTCAAGGCCGGCGTTGACCCTGATGAGCTTGAAGACGTGATCACTAAGGTGCACGAGGCCATCCGCGCTGACCCGTCGCCTGCCGCTAAGAAGGATAACACCTTCGACAAGAAGTACAAGCGCACGGCCAAGCGTTCGCGCCAGCAGCGCCAGGCTCGTGTGGCCCAGAAGAAGGCCCACGCTGCCTCCAAGCAGTGAATCTTGTCGTAGGACTTGTTTAAGCTATTTGTCGTTCGAGACAGGTAGCTGTGTCCGCGTGGTGTAGTAAAACACCGCATCAACATGATGAAAGTTCAAACACTTATTTCTAAAGTTTTGCCATTTTTACGTTTGCAATTTGATGCTTATACTACTGTTGTAGTACTACGTAGTATAAAAAAACCTTTTTTAAGGTGTTTTACAAAGATGCTGTTTATTACTGTTAAGTTTAACCTCATTTCAGAACGTGTTTTTCGTGCCTTTACATTGACCCATTTTCAATTTTAAGCTGCGATGGCGTTTTCGATGAAGCTATCTGTAGGGAAGGGAAAGAAGAAGCCGCTAGGTGCGCCTTTCGCGACTGCAGCGAAGCAATACGGGCTCGCTTTACCAAAGAAGGATGTGAAGAAGAAGGCATGCGCGCAGGACTCACACTCTATGCCCCTCTTGTCTTCGCGCAATCATTCTGACCACTTATGTATCAATTGTGCAGGAGGTCTCGTCGGGTTTCAATGTGTTCGCCGCTGCAGCAGAAAAGAGCAGCAAGGAGAATGCTGAAGAGACTGGAAATGATACTAGACGTCGAGTAGGAGCTGAAGCAGCTCGCAGTCTGCAGCAGAGCCAAGTAGACAAGGTGCGCGCCCAAGCTCTGGCAGAAGACGCATCGGTCTTTGACTACGACGCAGTGTACGACGACATGAAGAGCGCGCGAGAGTCTGAAGCTGATAAACGCGCAACGAAGAGAGAAGAGGAGAAGAAGAAACCCAAATATATTAGTACATTGCTGCAACAAGCAAAGATCCGCGAAGTCGAGAACGAGCGCATTCGTGAGCGACGTCTCTTAAACGAACGCAAGGCGGACGATGTCATGTATGGAGACAAAGAGAAGCTTGTATCCGCGTCTTATAAAAGAAAGCTACAGGAAATGCAGCGCTGGGATGCAGAGGACGCACGACTTGCTGCCATGGAAGAGCAGGAAGACGTCACTAAGCAGGGCGAGCATGCAATGGCAGGCTTTTACGCGAATCTCAACAAGAACATCGCGATGGGCGGCTCGACGAGCAATGCGCGGAGTGCGTACACGGCCAAGGAGGCACGACATGACGCGACAACTAGTGAGAAACCGGCTAGCGCTGAGCGTGAACATGACGGCGAGACAGCCTCCATATCTCTTGACGAACCTGCGACCAAGAAGGCGAGAAGTAGTGAGCAACCAGACGAGGGTAGACAGTCTCCGCCAGCTCGTGACACTTCGCCTAAACGCAAGGAAGATGCCGAGGCTTCATCACCACGGAAAAAGGAGGCAAAAGCGAGCACGGAGGACGCTATTGCCGCTGCTAGAGCACGTTTCTTGGCTCGAAAGGCGCAACGCAAAAGCTAAAGAGTTGCATGCAACAAATTTGCGAAACATGGGATGATACTGAAAACATTTTGTGTTGAAGGTTGAAGATACTTTTTATCTAATTGTATTTTCATTTTAAAATGCCTACATATGAGTAAAATAAATATCAAACGTTTTGCCGATGCAAGTCGAAATTAATGCACCGACTGTGTCAAGTGTTGTAGGCCCAGCAGTGATGTAGCCGCCAGCAGCTCAAGATCTTTTAGCTGCGGCGCCGTGTTCTCGTCGCGTGAGCTGTTGCTCTTTGAGCGCTTGTTCTTCGTACGCTTGCAATCATCATGGGAGGTTATAGAAGCTGTAGAAGGCGAGGAATTATCCCGCATGGCCGACCACGAGCGCTTACGAGGCGAACTCGATGGGCTCGGCGCAGGAGAAGGCGATACCAGCTGGTGGAGGTTGGTTGGCACGTCCAGTTTGTTGCCACGCGGGCCGCCACGTCCTGTTGACAGGAAGTTCTTAACTTCAACTCCAGATTGACGCAACACAGGCTGCCAGAGGCGCTTCCGGGCGTTAGTAAACCAGTTCGAGAGCTGTTTGACTTCAATGCCAGCCTCGTTAGCCAGTTCCTCCTTCTCCTCCTCACTTGGGTACGGGTGGGCGAAGTGTTCGGGTGAGAACATCCAGGCCTTGAGGACGTTTTTGGCTTCAGGGTGTAGTGTGCCTCGACGCGTACCCTTTTTACGTCTCTGTGTCTTCTCTACTACGGGTTGTTCACTCTCCTCTTCGTCTGCACTACTAGTGGCAACTGTGGCACCCTCGAGCTCGTATGAAGGGCTGGAGAACGATGGCAGACGCAACTCGCGGCTGGGCGCACGCTGCGCAGAGATGGCGAACTGCAGACCTGGCAGCGGGTTCTTGGCCGGGTTGGGCGATGTGATAGGTGCTGACTTGCCTGTCAGCACGGGTGAGGCCATGGCCAGCGCCATGGTGGGATCCTCACTAGGATCCGTGGGCGACAGACACAACTGCGCCGACTTCTTGGCCGCCTGTTGCTTCTCGGGCGTGTTCGTGGCGGTCAGAAGGCGCATGGCCACAAGACGCGCGTGACTCGGTGGTTCCATTGCGGTGTGAAGGTAAATTTGTGTTGCTTGGTGACTCGAATAGACTTGCGAATGACGCGGCAACTTTGAGAATGAGAACCAAGCGTCAATGCGTCACAAGTTGCCTTTTTTGTATGGGCTTGACTATTGACGACACGCACAAATCGAGCAAGCCAATCAGCGCGCAGCGTGCGACGCGGCGTTAAAATGCGGGACAAGTGGACGTCGCCTCTCCTGGTGTCGTCTGGTAGCGTTCGGCTCCTTATGGGCTTCACGCGATGGGTTCAACGCCGTGACGGGGAGGGATGACCTGCTGTAATGAGTCGGTTGTGCGGTCGTGGATACTTTTTTCCCTTTCAAATAATTTGAAATGGATGCGCAGTTCGGCTTGATGGGCGTCGCTCGGTGAAAAACTCGTTCTAGCTGGTGTGGCGCGTTGCGGATTGCAAAGTGAAAGGTAGCGTCTGAGGCCCATGAGGTGTCAGTTTCTCTCCTGGCGCCAGGCACTGAAAGGCGAGCGACACCTGGGCAGATCTGCACGTCTCTTGGCGATGCCGCGACAAGAAGCCGCATTGGAGCTGGCCCTTTTTTACTTCGTAACGGCTCAAAAAGGGTCTTCTGCTCAAATTTTTGCTTCTTCAAGCGGAAGTGTCCCGACAGAAAATCTCGAAAAATAGAGACAATCCAATTGATTTACCCAGTTTTGACCTGGATCGGCAAAAAATGGGTCCGATCTTGATGTGCACCGGATGATGGTCATCAGAAATCGGCTGGCGAGTTGGTTTCTCAGCGAGTGCCGATGGCGTGTCAAATTGGCGCACAACGCTGCGAAGAGACGGAAATCTTTCCACGCGCGTGAGGCGGAGACCCCCAGCGCGATGGAGGGGCGCTGTCCTTTTGACAAGCAACCACGCTTATCATGAAGCCTCCGCCGGCTTTAGGGCCGTTACGGCAGCAGCGGTTGAAAGATGCCAATCAAGCGGCCCCTTGCCACGCACGAGCGTCCCTCTAGGCCAAAACGGACGAGTAGTGAAAGGGCGGCGACGACTAGCCGATCTTATTACATGTACATGATCACCTTGATCGGCTTCAGGTCCTGCCTAAGCCCTGCTAAGTGGATACGTGACAGCTATGAAGTCCATCAAACCTTTTCCCTTCGGACTTTGACGGTTCGACGTGACGGACAGAAACAGACCCGAGCAAAGCTATCCTGATCATGAGTGACATGTCCCGGTATCCTACTTGTCGCCGTTCTCGACGACCGCGCAGCGCATTCCGCATCGCGACCACTATTAATACAACGTTTTTTAAGGCAACTTCTTCCTCACCTAAATGTGACACTTAAGCCTAGCGCTCGTCGGTCAGGCAGCAGCGTTTCAATTGCCCCGCATGTTTTCGCCTATCAACGGTCGACTCAGTTGTCACTGGCAACTTGCCAGCTCGCACTTGCATGCCACGTAGCCGCTCTGCTTACTTCAACCTCCCTGCACAGCACATGATCCACAGGCACAACGTCCACTTCAATGATAAGCATGGCTAGCTTGCTGTCGCACCCAAACTTCTGGGCTCTATAGCTTCAGCGAGCCACACATTAGCGTGTGTAAGTACATGTATAGAATATCTCACTCTTTCGTGGATTTTCGACCCAAAAAGGCTGGAAAGTGAGGCCGTGTGAGTTTCGACGCCATGAACGCAACGTGCATCACGCTACCTCGTGGCAAACTTTGAGCACCAGGATTTGTTTCTCTTATCGCGGACAAGACAATACGTAACAAGGCGACGTCGTCTACTGTACATGTACACCCTTCGCATTGCCATTTTGTCTGCAATATATGCGATCGCTTGAGATGGTGCTTCTCGTTTGCACGAAAACTCGTGGAGTGTACAGCGTTGCGGGTACTGAGTACTCCTTCTGCGACCTTACATTTCGACAAGATATCATCCGTGCTCATCGAGCAATTCGTCACGTAGCTACGTACACGTACCGGCACATGGAGTCCCATGTAGATGCGTCTGACACTATAATACTGGGTAGTAGAAATCATCTACAGTCTTATACATGTACATAGTTAACTTTCACCTCTCTGACCACCATTCTGAACAAAAGGCGACGGATATCCCTATTTACCCCTTAGTGTACTGAAATGTGAAATACGGATAAAAGGATGCGGTCTCCATTGTAAACTCCTTACGTCATGTTGTATGTGGTAAGGATAGCACTAGGGCCTTGCACCATACTTGCATGCCATGATGATGAGGGTGTCAATGCTCTTATTTAGAAACCTATGTAAATTTTACAAGCAGAATTCGATCTAATTTGGTGTGGGCCACATATTTTTACTTAACGTAACGGATGCGCCCGAATAAAAGCCCCCTACCGAATAGTGTCCTGTGGGGTGCTATGCCTGCACTATTAAATACAAGCCCCTCCTGAATAGAGTCCTTATAAAAACTACCAAATCTGCTATTACAAACTTGCTGACCATCCATTCTACAGAGAGAAACACTTTCCCGTCATTTCCAATAATGCCTCATCAAAGGCAGTCAGTTAGCATTGGGCGTAAGCAAGAGGTGATCAAGTGGATTAAAGATGTCGTTTCAAGGACCTACTGTACATGGAGATTAACGCTCGGAAAGAGTCAGACCGAGTCGAATACACTCGCTTTGGTAACCCACGTATGCCAAGTGTTGACACCGTTTGCGATTGAAGCCTCAGCGCGTGGCGAGACACGGATGAGGCAACAATCATGCGGAGCGTTGAAATAGCAGGCTTCTCGAGAGACCCCTCGTCGTGGTTTATATCCAAGCACGATGTGTAAGGCGCAAAATTTCGTGAAAAGTGGTCGAAGGAACCAAATGAACGAAGACGTCGATCTGTTATATCTTTCAGAGTTAGATGATGCGTTAGACGATATTAACCTGGTACACGAATCATTTCAGCAAGGAATAAAGTCCTTACCCGTTTAAAGTCCTCTCTGTCACTTTCGGGCGGCACTATTAAATATAGTCCGGACTCTAATAGGGCGCGTCCGTTAATATAATACCCCAATTTAAATTAAATTATGCGGGGGAACGGATTCCCAACAATAGGTTTGTACCCTTAGGGTGGTTCTTAACCACTGCCATACGTGCCATGCCATGCCATGGCACTTCCATCTTCGTGGCACGCATGGCACCAACTGGTTAAAAATGAAAGATCCGATTTCGTGCCACAACGCGTTTTTTAACCTAATATTTGACATAGAAAATCATTTACCAAAAGGAAACCAAACGGAAACGTTACCTTGCTTGTACTGACAAACATGTCCAAGCGAGGGATGAAGAGCTCAGAGAAGGGGGCGAACAAGCGCAAGCGGCTCAAGATACTGCCGTCTACATATCCGTCGAACTCTGTGGAGTCTTACACATCAGCCACACCGCTCGCAACAACCAGCTCTTTGAAGAAGTCTGCGGAACGAAAGCGACGAGAGCACATGGAAGTACATTAAGCTTGCCATCAAGCAAGCCTGCAGCACCAGCCGACCCGCCGTTGGATCTTGCGTGTGCCACTCCGTTTGTACAAAGCGCTGAGAGCACCACTTTCATTGCCACTGCTTCCACCAGCAACGCCTATTAGTGACATTCACGTTTACAGTAGCGGGCGTTCTGGCGCTGAACTGCTGGAAGCTATCGATTCCATATTGAGTGCATCATCAGAGGATGAAATGGACCCACAATCATTGGTCGTGACTGCTGACGTCGTCCCTAAAGTCATTACGCCTGCGAGAGTGACAAATTGGACCGTTAAAAACCCAGGCAAAGTCCTCCCGCCGAAAATCAACGACTACGAATTGTGGACGGTGGCGCAGTTAAGAAAGGAATGCACCGAAAGAAACCTCCGTCTTTCCCGAGCGACTAGCAAACAGGAGCAAATACGCTACCTGCGATCGTTTGACGCAA